TCGGCTCTATTTTCAGATATTTCTATCTAAAATTGCGCTATTATAGAAAATATTTGAAATTATTTTAAGTACGCAGCCTGCTATTTTCGGCTCTATTTTCAGCTATTTCTAGCTAAAATTAGGCTATTATATAAAATATTTTAAATTATTCTAAGTACGCAGCCTGCTATTTTTTGCTCTATTTTCAGCTATTCCTAGCTAAAATTACGCTATTATATAAAATATTTGAAATTATTCTAAGTACCCAGCCTGCTATTTTCGGCTCTATTTTCAGCTATTTCTAGCTAAAATTGCGCTATTATAGAAAATATTTGAAATTATTTTAAGTACCCAGCCTGCTATTTTCGGCTCTATTTTCAGCTATTCCTAGCTAAAATTACGCTATTATATAAAATATTTGAAATTATTTTAAGTACCCAGTCTGCTATTTTCGGCTCTATTTTCAGCTATTTCTATCTAAAATTGCGCTATTATAGAAAATATTTGAAATTATTTTAAGTACCCAGCCTGCTATTTTCGGCTCTATTTTCAGCTATTTCTATCTAAAATTGCGCTATTATAGAAAATATTTGAAATTATTCTAAGTACGCAGCCTGCTATTTTTGGCTCTATTTTAAGCTATTCCTACCTAAAATTACGCTATTTTTTGAAATTATTATGAAGTGTCAATTATATTTGAGAATAGCTAGCTATTAGACGCTATTTTAGAAAAATTTGAAAATTATTGTAAGTCCACACTTTTCTATTTTCGGCTCAATTATCAGCTATTTTAGAAAATATTTGAAATTATTTTAAGTACCCAGCCTGCTATTTTCGGCTCTATTTTCAGCTATTTCTATCTAAAATTGCGCTATTATAGAAAATATTTGAAATTATTTTAAGTACCCAGCCTGCTATTTTCGGCTCTATTTTTAGCTATTTCTAGCTAAAATTGCGCTATTATAGAAAATAATTGAAATTATTCTAAGTACCCAGCCTGCTATTTTCGGGGTTCTCACATTATATACATTTAAATAGCCACCTACTTATAAAACTGTTGCAAACCCTCAACCTAACCCTAAGAAATTGTCACAAATGGAACTTGTGTATTGAAAACTGTAGCAAATCCTCAACCTAACCCTAAGAAATTGTCACAAATGGAACTTATGTTTTTAAAACTGTTGCAAACCTCACGCCTTCAAGTTTCCAGTGCCTACGGCGTCTCTCCAGCTGTTACGCTCTTGCATCACATTATATACATTTTAATAGCCACCTACTTTTAAAACTGTTGCAAACCCTCAACCTAACCATAAGAAATGCCACAAATGGAACTTATGTATTTAAAACTGTTGCAAACCCCACCCCCTTCATGCTTCCGGCACCTACGGCGTTTCCAGCTGTTACACTCTTGCATCGCTCGCTTATCGCACCTCCGGTGCTCACATAATATACATTTCAATAGCCACCTACTTTTAAAACGGTTGCAAACCCTCAACCTAACCCTAAGAAATGCCACAAATATAACTTATGTATTTAAAACTGTTGCAACCCCATCCCCTTCATGCTTCTGGCACCTACAGAGTCTCCATCCGTTACACTCTTGCATCGCTTTAAAACTGGAACTTATGTATTTAAACTGTTGCAAACCTCACGCCTTCAAGCTTCCAGCGCCTACGGCGTTTCTCCAGCTGTTACGCTCTTACATCGCTTCACGACCTACGGTGCTCACATAATATATATGTAAATAGCCACCTACTTTTAAAACGGTTGCAAAGGTGTTCTTCCAAGTTTTGCAGTGCCTCCATCATTTGGCAAACCTTACCCTTCAACAGCAAGGCCAACCAGCGTTTACCTTCAAACGCAAAGTCTCTGAGTTGGATAGTTTTATCCGTCCAGCAATGAAAACATCAGCTGTCGACGTGAATATTCATCAATCAATCGGACATGGCTCTCTAAGGTTACGCAGGTCCTGATCGACCATTACCAAACCACACTTCAAGAGAAGCTGACCACCATTCGTACCAAGTCTTTATCATCACCTGGCGTCGACCGCATTGTTTCTCATGCCCTGTCCTGGGCCCGTCGCTCCTATGGGAAACGTCTCACTCAAGCTGTAATCACCAAATTCTACCAAACAATCAACGAAACAAAAAACCAGAGTAACCATATCTCTACCAACTGAAATGGACATTACACCTGCACATCTAGAGCCACCACGTTGCCGAACCAAACCCCTAAACGAGCCCGAAGTTCACCTACTCCTAGTCCAGCAGACATGGGTAAACGCTCTCCTAGAGAGGGCACTCCCCTTCTCTTTTCACTTTCAGACACGTCTTCCCCTTCCACACCATCTGAATCTTCACCACGTGATCCAGGATCCGCCAACCTTTCTTGTTGTGCGCATGCGCATTATCAACTTTCTTATTTCTTATCCGAATTTAATCAAACTTGGTATGTATGTGTTTAATCCAATGGAAATATCGAATTTTTGTTGTGCGCATGCGCATTGCCAAATTTCTTATTTCTTTCCGGATTTCATAAAACTTGGTCTTTATTAATTGACAAACATTCTTTTATTCCTAGTCAATATACTTTAACCTCCAAGCACTTTTGGACATTTGCATTTAGAGATGCAGAAAAGTATTTACATCAGTGTAATTGCAATAGACCATCTTCGTATGTACCTGAATGTCGTAACACACCCTGCATCAGTACTGTTATTAGAACAGTTCTAGTATATTTTTGTATCACTGTATTGTGATTTAATCTTTTGTTGATTTGGAAAAAGGGGGATGTGACATAAACATAAATATGTAGTCTTAAATATTATTAGTACATTGCTAGAAACTAGTGTTATATCCCTCTGCTAGAATGACATCACATTATTGTAACTCCTCCATGTTGACTGTATCATAAACATAATATCCAGATCATATAAAGTCTACCATGGTTACCATGGAAACATATTTTTGGGGCTATTTTGATATCAAATAATTCCAACAACTATAAGAACATGGAGAATCCTTCTTTGCATCAATAAGACTTCAAATTTCTAAAACTAAGGTTACGTGCAAATATGATCGGTTTTTTGGCTGACTATGTAGTACTTAGTTAACATAGCAACGGGGAAGTTATGATCTTGGCAACCTCCCTAACTCTCACCAGTGACCACTAATGAATATTATAGGCATGGTGTCTGCTTGTAACAAGACTTTACCATCAATTTTTTTTCTGAGCTGTTTACCTAATTTGGCCAGCTGACTTTTTTTGACAAGACATTGTACCAATTTTTAAAGTAAACATAAGCATTTCTATCAAAAACGTCTGTGACTTCTCCCTTATAACTTAAAAATCTAGTGGATGTTAATATTGGCAAGATAGTATCCCATAATCCAATCTTCATTAATCGGTATTTTATCTTAAAAGCCCAGTTTTTGGTGTTTCAGAGAGAACAACAGACTATTTAAAAATATCTTTGTTCAGCCAGCCATATTCTATATTGTGCAGCCTGCAGTAGTGTTTTATTATGCTATTCCATTGTCTGACTTCTAATGGCACCCATTCCATATCGCCATTAATAGCAATATTCGGAGTGTATTTACTTACACCCAGGAAATATCTACATGCTCTATTTAGTATCGCATTTATGCAACTAAAACATTTGTCCTCCCAACACTGCAGCTCCTTAATTCATACTTATGAAGACTAAGCTATCATACAATTTTGTGAAGGTTCTATATGGAAATCCTCCGATGTTCTTGGACTTGGCAATAAGTAATCCAATTGCTCTCGAGGCTGGTCTGAAAAGACCAAAAACAGGGCCTTTAAGATAAAATACTGTTTAATGAAGGTTGGATTATGGGATACTATCTTGCCAATATTAACATCCACTAGATTTTTAAGTTTTTAGAGAGTAGTGTTAGGGTTCCTCATCAGCAGAATGAGGTTTCACTAAATTATTTTTAAGCATGACATTGGCCACAAGTGGTCAAAAATATAATAGATATTTTCCGCACGAGGGGCAAATGCACTCTAAAAATTACCCGCACATGAAGCGCTACTAGTCGAGCATAATTGACTCTGTGCCATTTTCTCTCTGTGTGCGGGTGCCTTAAGTCATTGAGCACGTATGGACCTATTAAGCCTTGCTTATTTGGAATCAATCTAACCTTGTTGAACGGTTGGAATCATGTTTATAATGGTATGTGTATTATAGGAAAACACTAGGAATCTATAACTTATTCAAATTAACTCAATCAAATTAATGTACTATTCATTTATAGACACCTGAAACTCCATCTAAATTTTAGACTAAAATTACTTGTCATAATAATCATAATATTGCTATGACTGGATTACTGACTGCTGGTTGTAGAACCGGTAGTGAGAATAATTGAAATACATGTATAAGCTTAACCGCAAATGATTAACTAGCCGGCGGTTTAAGAAACGGTGGATAAAGTAGCTACCAACGGTTGTCTAACCGGTAGTTGCATTACCGGGGGAGAACAATTCTTTATCTACATAATGGTTGCTCTGCTGCATAAAGATTCATACCGGTCATTGAATGATAAGACTAACACCAGTAATTTCTAGTACTCTATAATCCCTTAATCATTATGAATGCTTGTGGCTGTGTTCATGTTTAACAAGTTTATGATTGATTGTATTGTTTGTCAATATTTCTTATATAATTGAATATAAAAAATTATTATTGTTATAAAGTAATTGTTTTTATTTCTCAACTGGTCGAAGTACTACTCAGTAGATGAACCCCTATTGTACAGCTGTTCTCCTGATTACAGCTGTTCGCAACACTAGTCACAGACGTTTTAGATAGAAATGCTAATGTTTACTTTGAAAATTGGTACAATGACTTGTTGCAAATAGTCAGCCTGGCCCAATTATGTTAAAAGCTATATACACATTTTACAAGCCCAATCATATTGCATGAGTTAAAGCTGCTGTGTGGCCATAATTTATCTTTTCTGGTACAATATATATGTATCTGTCATTTATTATATTTTAGAGATGACCCTAATTGCATGCCTGACTTTGTTGCAAGTAATTCAGCAAATGAAAATGGTTGTATTCGATTTGCAGGTGAAAACTTATTCTCGGCAATAAAGTAAGTGCATAATAGTAAAGGTTACCATCATAATTATGATGGCATCCCTTGGAATGAAGGCAGATTCAAGATCAAACATTTCCTGGTTCCTTGTATCCTTATCAGCTTACTATTATATGTTTCGATGTTCTGGGACTTTGATATTGGGTTTTCTTTTGTTTTGATTCTAATCTGAAATTAGAAAAAATAACTCCTCCATTGGGCGAGAAGTATAGTATCTGTTATGTACTGATTGTTTTTAGTTTACTATGATCATTTAAGTTCTTATTTTTTGAATATGCAACTATCATTTTCTGCTTATAGACATGGGGGAATTTCTCTTGAAGGCTCTTATAGTGGGCATGATCTTGCTTGCTCGATTGCTGGTTGTATTAAACGGGACAACAAAGGGTGCTATGCCTACATTATGGTGAATATTTAGTCCCATAGGTCTTGCTGTATTCAATATCTCAATCCAATGGGCTTCCCTAGATTGACGGAATTTGGTAGTTTCATCTTCGGGCAAGTCAATTTCTATGCGCTCAATTGGAATTAGGGTGAGATCGTCTATTGAATGGTTGTCAAGGTTGAAATGATTAGAAACAGGCTTGTCTTTCTTTAATTTGATATCCGACCTATGAGCATTAAAACGAGTTCGTAGATTATTCTTAGTTTCCCCTTCATATTGTTTGGGGCATTTCTTGCATGAAATCAAATATATTACATTAGAATATTCACATGTTAGATGTTCCTGGATCGGGTACCTTTGATTCGTAGAGTTGCTTACAAACTAATGAGTTTCTGATATAAAGGGACATGTTTTGCATCTACTGGACAAACATGGAGCATTTCTTAAACCTGGAATTACCTCGGCATAAAGTCTGTTTTTGGCTGCTATCTGTGCTAAGGTGGAATTGTTTATGTTTCGTAAAGATCGTTTAGAGTACCCACACTCTTTCAGTTTTGAGAAAATAATCTTGTGCAAATTCGATGAAATTGTAAAACTTGTGACTTAATTATACCAGAAAAGGTATGTTTTGGGTGAAAGGAGCTCTTGTGCAGTTAGTTTGATGGTAGGATGGTGGTTGTTAAGAATTTCAAAGAATTCCCAAAACTGGGTCAAATGGACAGAGGGGCAACACCTCATGTTCCCACTCTGCTATGAAAAGGTTTGCGTATGAAGGGGCGAATCGTTTGCCCATAGCTGTCCCTGAAGTTTGTAAATATGTTTAACCATTAAATGTGAAATCGTTTCGACTTAGACAAATCTCTAGAAGCTGTAAAATTGCATTGTCGGGTCTGTTTGGGTCTGGGTTTATTAAAAGCTTTACGAACTGCCGTTAGACCAGTAGTGTTATCGATATTGGTATACATAGAAGAAACGTCGATAGAAATTAAAATAGCATTAGTGGGAACTCGAAGATTTTTTATTTTATTGACAAAATCAGTTGTGTCTTTAAGGTAGACGCGATGTTGACATGCTAGAGGTAGTAAGAAATGATCAATGTATTCTGACACTGCATACGACTCACTACCACAGTCAGATATAATCGGGCGGCCTTTAGGGATTTTATTAGAGATAAACCACTCCTTGGTTGGATTCTTATGGATTTCAGGCAAAGTGTACAAATGTCTCTCGCGACAATCAGGTTTGGCAGACAGATAGTCATATTGTTTCTGTTTAAGATTTAGGAATAAACATTGTTCTAGCACCATGTGGGGGTGGTTTCGAAAAAAAATGTGTGCAGCTAAGATTTCGTTGAAATTGTTCAATAGATGGTCGGAGATAATTCAAATTAACTGCTAAATCATATAACAATAAGAATTGCTTGAAGAAAGTTATACCAGTTTTATAGGTTTGAAAGTTAGATGGGGCTGATATCTAGTCCCAAAGTTTCTTTACTTCAAAATCTAAGACTGAATGTTGGTTACAGTTTGGTAAGATGGAATTCTGTCATTCCTGGGGCCACTCCTGCAGCGAAACTGTGAAATTTCTGAAAATTAAAGCGTGATAAAGCAGTATTGTCGCAGTAAAAGAGAACTTTTTAGTTCAAGAGCTACCCCATAAAATTGTTGCCACTAATATGGGATAAAACTCCAAGAGCGCTGGTGATCTTTCATTTGAATGCAGTAATTCATTTGGTCAAGCGCCACTAAACCAGTTAGTGGCCCTCATAATAGCCTCCAAAGCCTGGTGCTGGATGCATCAGTATACAATTCCATGTTAACAGCTGGTGTATACCACTGATCTGATAAGAAAGAAGTCCCATTCCACTCTCTGAGAAACAAAAACCACATTTTTAATTCCTGCTTGCATGCTTGGTTAAGATGAATGAAATGATGCAATTCTCGAACCTTAGTTGTCAAAGTGATGAGAAAAGATACAAACGATCTCCCGAGCTAATTTTATTACATTGTCCCTAACACTTCCGGAATCGGATGAGACGCACGCATGCTTGGGTCTAGTGAGACAAGACGTGAGTTGCGTCTTACTTTGAACTTTTTACTGGCCTCTGGGTCAACATTAGTTGTCCATCTGTAAGGTTTATGTTATGTTCAAAATGCCAATGTGTCAAATATCGTCGACCCGCGTGAGAAATGCCGTTATTAGTACTTAGTATAGAAAGTCTGGTTAATCCCGTACTGAGTCAAGTATATTATAGTATTTTTGTATAGTATTATAGTATTATATTATTGTGACTTGATATTCGGGTATAGGTCGCCGTTGCTTGGTAACAGTGGGCATGATGGGATTATAAGCACATGTGAAAGATGGTTGAAAATATGTGGTCTATAGGGAGCCAGAACCATACAATTTTTTACCACAGAGTACCGCAGAGTACTGCAGCGTATCGCACTGTACTGTATTGTAATGTATCGTATTGCATTTCATTCATGTTAAATGCTTTTATATTTTGTGACAATATACTTTAAATATGAAGAACTGTGTGATATTTTCTTATCCCTGTGGCGCGTAACTATTGTATAGTGATGTCATCTCTCTTGGACCCAACATAGTAAAAAATTTCTGGAATTTTGACACTGAACAGTGAAACGGGAAAGTGACATGTCTTCTCTTAGTGAAAATGGTGAAGGGAGCGGAAGTACTCGAACGCCGTCTCCTCCTGTGTTGGACTTGCAAGTGGATTTACAACATAATGATTTTAACATTGATCAGCCTCCAGTGGCTCCTGTGAACAATCAGCCTCCAGCGGCTCCCGTGAACAATCAGCCTCTAGCAGCTCCTGTGAACAATCAGCCTCCAATGGCACTAGTCAATAATCAGCCTCCAGCGGCTCCTGTGAACAATCAGCCTCCAATGGCACTAGTCAATAATCAGCCTCCAGCAGCTCCAAACCATCCTCTTTTGGATCAGATTGTAACTGTTCAGCAAACTGTTCCGCTGAATGTTAACGCTCAACCATTTGTGAACACAGTGCATCAAAATGACCCTGCAGTCCCTAATGGGGCCGGTGTTTTGGAAGATGACTTGCCCATTATAAATCCCCAAGATAGTGCTTCAAATATCTCTAGAGGAGGTGGCAAAACTAGGATAAGTACTGCTTCAAAACTCAAGTTAATAAAGAATAAACAGCAGATTGAATTGAAACTCAAACTTGCAGCACTGCAAGAAACTAATGTGATTGAGGAAGAGAGACGCTTACTGATCATTAGATCAGATCAAATGAGTAGGAGACAAAATGAAATAATTCTTAGAGCTCAACTACAGGCTGCTACAGAAGTCGGTAAAATGATTGATCTTGCAAATTCTGAGGTGACATTTAAAAGGACAAATTTAAGCCCAGTGATTCCTGTGAAAGCATCGAATAAAACTTGTGATGTGAAAGAAAATTGTATTAATCCAGAGGTTAAAATTTCTAAGACCTCTAACTCTAATGACTTGTTAACAATCTTTAATAAGCTTATTGACACTCAGAAAGACCAAGCTTTGCCGAATCAGGATATTGACGTTTTCGACGGATCAGATATTTTAAATTACTTTCATAAGAAACTTTGAACTGATCGTAGAGAGGCACACCGATGATTATGCCAGGTGACTTGAATTCTTGCTGAAATATACATCAAAAGAAGCTCATGAACTTATTAAATTTACTCTTAAATAATGATTCAAAAGAAGCTTATCAAAATGCATGTGAACTGTTAAACAGTGATCCTCATTTGGTGGCTCAAGAATTCATTTACATAGCCAGCTCATGGAAACAGATACAATCTGGTAACAAAATAGGTTTCAGGAAATTCTCTAACTTTCTAGTGAACTGTATCAACTGCAGACAGAACAACCCAGATATGTCAAGTCTAGATAGTTTTGAGTTCATCAAGACCTTATGCCAAAAGTTACCAATTTCTATTCAACAAAAATGGAAATCAGAAAATGGGAAAATTAGAGACTCTCTAAACCGATCTCCTAACTTATTAGACTTCGAAAAGTTTGTGAATCTGATGTTGAGAAACGAGAATGATGTCAGGGTCAGTGGCCTGGGATATCAGCAGAGACCTACTAGTACTCAAAATCAGCCAGTGAAACATGTAAACAACATACCTCAGAGAAAGGCCTACACAACACAGGTTAAGCGTGAAACAGACAGTGAAGTGGTTTCGTCTTCAGAGGCACCATGTTTGTTTTGTGGTGTAGGTACTAAACATTCCATACTTGACTGTCGAAAATTTACAGCTTTGAGCCCTTGTGAGAAGTCAGACTTTGTACGAAAGAAGGGACTGTGTTTTGGTTGCCTTAATCCAGGACACATGAAAGACAAGTGTCAAAACATTTTAACTTGTAACCTGTGTCCCAAAAAACATCCAACTGTGTTACATGATTCATCAAAAGACAGAAAACAATCAGACACAAGCTTAAAAACTGTAACTTCAACTTGTGCTGTTATGAAAAATGCAATACACAACAGTGACCTTTTAATGGCTATCTTACCTGTGAAAGTAAAATCACCTTTTAATGGACATCAAATAGACACTTAAGCATTTTTGGATAACGGATTTTCATC